AACTCAATGTGGCCCGAGCATATAAATTGAGAAGTGATGTAAACAATTTAAGGCAAGGGGAGAAACTTCTAACTATATATTTCTCAACCCTGAAGTCTCTATGGCAAGAGATTGACCTAATAGAAGCTGTAACTTGGGACACCACCAATGATGCAGAGACCTACAGAAAATTGGTTGAAAGGAACAGGGTATTTGAGTTCCTAACTGGACTAAACCCAAAATATGATCTCACAAAAAGGAATATTCTTTCCAAGGAGTGTGTCTCTTTGTCACAAGCTTATGCATTGGTGAGTAGTGAAGAGAGCAGAAGGGCTGTCCAGGTTCAAGGGGCTGATATTAGTGATCACTTTGCCAATACGGGGATTAAACCTAAAGGGAATACTGGAACTTCTGGTGGCACAAGAAGGAAAGAATTTATAGGTGAGTACTGCAAGAAGTCGAAACACACCAAAGACAAGTGCTGGAAATTACATCCTAATCTTGTTCCCATTCGGTTTCAGAAAAAACATGATAGTAAAAGATCGGGAAGTGCAAATGTAGCTGCCGGGCCAGATAGTGAAGAGATGTCTGCTTCTGCACAGTTGGCAGCCCATGAGAGCAGAATATGAAAAGTTTGGGAAGATGATCAGTCAGCTGAGTGATGTGACCTCTCCTTCCAACCCTTCAGGAAATTCTGCTTCTTCTGCATTTGTTCATTCAGGTATAAGGGCTTCTGCCAATCATGCTACCACTTCAGGTAATCTCAACATCCCTTGGATTATTGACTCAAGTGCTTCTGACCATATGACCAATCTGTCTACCTTGTTTGTTTCATATGACTTGCTTCCTGGACGTGATAAAATCACTTTAGCTGACGGTTCACTTGCCTCTATCTCTAGTAAGGAAACCATCAAGGCTATGGATTCCTTGTTCCTACCTTCTACCCTTCATGTACCTAAACTAAATACAAATTTGTTGTCTGTAAGTAGTTTAACCTAGTCACTAAACTGTTGTATAACCTTTTTTCCTTCCTACTRTGTTTTTCAGGATCTGGAGTCTCAGAAGGTGATTGGGAGTGGCCATGAGGCGAACGGAATATACCTGCTTGATACTCCGGGACACTGCACTGATCATCTTGGGAATGTTGCTCTCGGATCTGTCTCTTCAGAGTCTGTTAGATTATGTTGTGTCATCGTAGTTTTGGCCATCTGTCTTTTTCTGCCTTGAGTCATCTATTCCCTGAACTGTTTAAGGGAATTAGTTTGTCCAGTCTTCATTGTAAGTCTTGTGAATTGTCAAAGCGTTGTAGAAACAATTATCCTTTGAGCAATGAAAGATCTTTTCCTTTTAATATTGTGCATTCTGATGTGTGGGGGCCTTACCACTTACCCTCCATGGGTGGCTACAAATATTTTATCCTGTTTATTGATGA